GTCTTACTTCTTGGCCTTTGAGTTCCTTAGACCTTACATTCTATGACTTGCCCTTGAACTCTACAGTGCAGACACCAGGCAGAGTTGGGTCTCCTCTCCTTGACCTTGACCTTGGCAGCATTGTCCCCTTCCTAGGTTCCTGCCATTGGACACTTCTCTCTCCGGCCCCTTCTGCTGTGATGTCCAGGGAATAAGGTGGGTTCTGTCCTCTGCAGAGGCGGGCGTCCTGTCTGTCCCTTGGCACGAGTGACACAGAGCAGGCTGAAACCCCACAACCCTATCAGCCACTTCTACGGTGAGACCAACTTTCTAGAATGGTGTCTCCCCTGTGCGGGGTGGGAGGAAGGCAAGGCCACGGCACAGGGCTGCAGGCCACCTCCCGAAATAGACCCCACCTGGCACACACTCACGGTCGCCCCTGCCTGCCTCGCTGGAGCCTGGCAGGGTAGGCGATTTGCATCGGAATCAGTGGCTGCAAACACACAGCTGTGCCTTTCTGCCTCGGCGGACTTTGACTTTCACTTGACTGCCTGGCGCACTGGGGCCTGGGGAAGGCAGGACAGGGCCTGGGCAGGGGCGAGGGAGGCTGGCAGGGGAGGCGGGGAGCAGCTGCCCCCGCGGAGCCCCATGTGTCTGGAGGCTGAATCACCACCTCTGGGCTTTTTCTCTGAGTGGGCGCTCGGCGGGGAGGGCCTTCTGGCTGCCTTCGGCTGACAGGTTGAACCATCAGCTGCAGCAGCTGGGGCTCCTCCTTCTGCTGGAGGAAGGGTCTGGGGCCTAGGGTCTCAAAAACGACAACCAACCTCTGGCCCTTTCTGATAGATAAAAGTCTCACCCCTCTGCAAAGTTTTGGAAAGATTCCCCCATCCTCGCCACGGAGAATCACTTAGTCGCTGTGTCTTCCTGTATCCCACCGGCCAGGCTGATTCTGTTGTTTTACATTTTATAGTTGGTTCACAAAAATAGATTTTAACATTTTTGTTTTCCAGACACAAAACTAGAATAGTAAATACGCCTTTTCTAATTTCACATGGAGCCAAGGCAAAGAGAGAAGGACAGAGACCAGAGGAGACTTAACTGTGGACTGTAACCAGGATAACACTGTCTTTTGTACCCTTTTTTCCTCATCTCTAAAAGAGGACAGTGACAAGCTGGCCCAGGGTTCACTAGGGAACCAGAAAGTCTGGGAGCAGGTGACAGCAGAGTGATGCTGAGACTCTCGAGTGCTCGCCTTTCATTTCTTCCTGTGCCCACGGGGCCCCGGGACCCCACCATGCAGGTGGTGGTGTGGCAGCACCAACCTGGTGCCCACCCGTCTGTCCAGCTGCCCTGGTCAACCTCTCCCGACACACACAGCTGGGCATCCAGACGGCAGCGCAAGGGCTGCAGAACCGTCCAGGCCACAGGGTGGAGGTCCCTCGCCCTGTTCTTGGTGAGCACCCCGTGCCCGCAGCCGCTCCCAGACACAAGTGAGCCCTGAACAGCCGGGGGACCTGCCGAGCAGGTGTAGAGAGCCCGGGGCACTCAGTTCTCCCGCCAGCACCTGTCTAGGGTTTGTAAATGCACCCGGCTCAACTCTGCCTGTGGTTTATCTCCCAGCCTCAAAGGCTGGTGGACACTTCCAAATCAGGTAGCCAATTGGGCAGAAGGCACCTCCTCTCTGATTCTAAGGGTTGATCTACAGAACTCAGCAGTCTCAGGATCGAGAGAAGTACCGACCCACAGAACACTTCCAACTGGAAGGGACCATAGAGATGATCTACTCCATGTCATTATACAGAGGAGGAAACCAGGGCCCAGAGAAGGCTAGTGATGTGCCTGAGGTCACACAGCTAGCAAGCTGAGGCTGGAAGTAGGAGCCACTCTGTGTGGGGGCCGCTGGGTGTTCGGGACTCCCAGCAGATGTTCTTGCTGCTCAAGAGAGGCAGATTGTCCTGCTTTCCCTCCTGAATACTACTACAGAAGTCTCCCTCCATCTCTAGCCAGGGACAGGGTTTCACTACCGCTGGATCTCAGTGCTCTGAGATGGGAGAGGCTGGCACTACTGTCTGTGACCCAGTGGTGCTAAAGGGCTCTAAGGACTAACCCTTGTAAAGTTGCTGGAGGCCTGCAAAGATATTTTTAGCTGAGGTCAAAGCCCTCGGGGGATCCGTGGATTCTGAGTATTAGGAACTCATCCCACCAGGTGCATGGCTGTCCCCCGTGACATGCCCAGGAGGAGGAGAAAACCACCCCCAGGGAAGGAGCTCTGCCCCTGGGTTGGCCTGGTTGTCTGCCCCCTTCCTCCCCTGCCAGGAGCCTCAGCCTTCTGCTTCCGGTCAGCAGCCGGGCTGGAGCTGGGGCTTCTTCCTGCAGGGCTGTCTGGAAGGGGGAGGGGAGCTGCTGACTTCTTGGCTCTCATTAGCTTTCCCTTGGCTTCTGGCTGGGGAGGGAGGGAGGGAGGGGGCGAGGGAGGGTGGGTGGCAGCTGGCTCGCAGAGCTTCCCGCTCTCCATCTGACTTGCCTGCTGCATTCCTTGGCAGGCAGGGCGGGAAAGCCTGCCACCGAGATGCACTCGTCATGTGCCGAGGCTCCCTCAGCTTCCGGCCCTCCCTGCCACCATTCCAAGGAGCACCTTGGCAAAGCTCAGCTCCGATGTTCTCTTAGGAGGTGGATGAACGCCTGGTCCTCGCCTCCCCTCTCCTCCGCGGCCTCCAGAGCTCGCTCAGGCACCAGCAACCCCGTTTCCCACCTCAGGAGCCCAGGCGGGGGCTGGCGAGGCTCTGGGGAGGCAGCTGAGGAGAGGTGCCCAGGGGCCTGACGCTGGCCTCACTCGGGAGTCATTGTCCTGACGGAGGTGCCATCGCCCTCTGGGCAGAGGACTTCCTCCAGCTTCTCCTGCCACCATCCCCAAAGGGAAAGTCACATCGCTGCTACTGTGGCACCCAGGCCTTGGCTTCCCCGCCCCCTCCCTCCCACGCCTCTTCCTGGTCCCCGACCTCAGAGTCGGGACCTGGGGAGGCCCCCACCCCTTTGTGGGAGTCCCTGTGGAATCTGAAGGAACGAACACACCTAAAAGGGGGGCCAGGGAAGAATGTCAGCTCTGGGTACCCTGGTGCCCCCACTGTCATCTGTCAACCACAAAACCAGGAAGACGGCAGAGACAGGCAGCCTGGCTGGGAGCACCAGGAAACGGCCTTTAGTTACAGAAGCCGCCTCCTCTCCCTGATCAGTAACGTCTGGGACTTTTCTACGAAAGCGTCGGAAGAAGAGGTGGAACCAACAATCACTGGCCAGATGTTTCCTACTGCGGTTTTCCTATTTCATAGCCACCGTGAAAGGCAGCTTCCCAGTGGGCAGGACCAGGGAGAAACAGGCTCCAGCCCCTTTGGCCCATGGCCATGTCTGGAGGCCCCCTGGGGAAGCTGCTGGATGTTACAGCTCCTTCTGGAACCGAGGCTCCTCCGACAAGGGCCCCCATGCACAGTGGCGTGGGCTATTCACTGCACAAGGCGCTCAGGGGCACGGCGGGGCTGAAATCCAGCCTGTGTTTCCTTGGCCAGCTGGGCATCTGTGGGGCCCACCAGAGGGAGTCCTGTTTTCTGTTTTGAATAAAGGCACATTATGGGCTGGTTGTGCTCTGCCATGGACTTCATTTAGTCATATTTGGTTCTGAACCTGGGCCTTCCCAGTCAAATAAGCCGGATTTCAGACAGGCTCTGTGGTTCCTGTTTGCCAAACAACGTGCCACTTGGCACAGCATTCCCAGACACTCGCTTTTATATTATATTGAAACTTCCATTGGAAGGAGAAGCTCACACAGCACTGCTGCTATTGATTAGGGAGTGCCAGGTCCCTTCTTCACCCAAACTAGGGGAAGCTTCCCTGAGCCACAGTAAACTACTCATTAGGATCTCATGTGAAAGGGGGCATCTTGGGCCTTCAATGGACAATCCCTCCAAGTCAAAGCACACCTTGAGAACTGGAGAAAACTATTTGCTTTCTCCAAATGCTCCCACTTTACCAAGAAAAAAAAGTGAGTTACCTAGCTGCACTTCCCTTTTTTTCCAGTTATTAGCCCCAAGATGTGGGTGGTCTTCTTACCCCTCTCCCAGCAAGGTGGGAATGCTATTGAACGAGCCCTTCCTTTAGTTTATGGCCTGCGGTATGTAGCCGATGAAGCATTCATGTAGATCTTCTCTTAGAGAAATCAAACTTTTATGTATATAATATTCAGAGACCGGGTGTCAAATTGAAAGGCATATTGGTTGGGTGGTTAGCTCTGTTTGATTAGAACACTGGGCTGTTGAGACCAAATTCCTGGGTTCCAGCCTTAAGTAATCTGAGAGCCAGTACTGTTCCACAGCCACGGGCCGTATCCCCAAACTCAGCCACGTCTCCGTGGGGATGTGGCTTTACCCCAAGGGCACAAGGAGCAGGGACAGATCAGTGGAAATCCCTCTGTAGCACCGGAACCAAAAATTCTCCATGCAGCACCCCTGAGGGTCTCCTGTTCACAAAGGAGCAGCAGGGAATTTAGGAATTTAGGTATTTTTTTTAAAAAGTATGGACCTTTTGGCCATACCCTCAGGAGTTTGGGGTAATTTCCTCCTTCGGCCTGCCCTGAAAACATCTCCATAAGTTCTCCCACGTGCACACTTCAGACACTGGGCGGTGTCTGGTGCTTTCCTGCTCCAGAGGCTCTGTCAACAGCCCGTGGAGAACCACCACGCCAACGCCGCTTCTGGGATGACGGGAAATCAATGAACGCTCCTCACGGAGCTTCACAGAGACCATTCTAGCCTTTCCTGAGACCTGCTTCTCAGGAAAAGCAGCCTGAAGATGTCGGGCCATCTTGTCCAAGTGCCAGCCTTCCTCTCACACCCTCGACCCTGAGGAGCCTCCACGGGGCCATCAAATTTCTGCTTCCCTACAGTTTGCACTGGAGGAAACTGTCCTCTCAGCCTCTCAACAAAATCTCTAAACATCCTCTGCCCACAGAGCAGCCAGCCCTCAGAAGAGAGAGAGAGAGAGGTGGGATCTCCCCACTTTCTATCGAGCCATTGTCGGTGGAGGATGTCCCACAGGCCTTGCTTCTGACAGCCTGTGGCACTTTCCTGGTGTGTGAAGCCACGTGGCCATGGCAACCCAGCCACGGAGTCACACACACGGGACCAGCAGGCCTTGCATTCGGCATGTTCTGATTTCTTACGAGGAAAAGCCACAGAGAGGGAGGACCAAAGAAGAAAAGGATGAGTACCGAGACTTTAACTGCCACCTACTAGAGTTACTGCGATGTCTACACCTAGTGAATTCAAAATAATGTTTAAATGCACTTAAAATGCATCCAGCCCTGGCAGGCAAATGACTAGGTTGCTTTTAACCCAGGATTCTTAGAATTTGTGCTAAAAGGATGAAATAAGGATGCTAATCATACAGTAGTCAAGTTTTACAAGGACTTTCCTCTTCAACAGAGGCAAAAACAAAACAAAATAAAACAAAAACAAAACAAGTCTGCAGCCATGGGCTTCTCCCTTGGAAAAGGGAAATGTGGACAGTTCCCTGTGTGCGACTCCTACTCTCTGGCCGCCACCTTGGCACCCTCTGGCCTGGTGTTAGCAGCTTGTGATGAGTCAGGGAATGAGCGGGATTGAGTATTGCCTGTGCTCGGAGCTCTGCTCAAAGCAGAGAGAACAGCGTGGAAAGAGGAGACGAGTCTCTGCTGTCCTGCAGACCACAGTAGAAGTCTCCACCATGTGCCACAGGGAACAGTCACTCATTCCCTGCTCCCACCTGTTACTGGGGGTCTCCTTACGTGCCACTGTGGGCCCTACCACTCTCTAAGTGGGTGCTCGTGGGGGAAAGCCACTCGCCTACAAGAACAGGGAAGCTGTAGGAACGTGTAGCCTGTCTTTCCTCAGGAACTGGGTGAGGAGTCTGGGGACACTGCTGGGATTCTGCTACCGCCCTCCTCTCCCTGCCGCACTGAGCGTGTGAGGCTGCCCGGGGCTGGGCGGGACACGGGGGCTCATGCAGAGGCGACTAACACACGCCAGCGAGACCACGCCGCCAGGACCCATGCAGCACGGCCGCTTCCTGCGCACAGCAAAAGCCGCGGACACAGCAACATCAGCTCGCGCCCTGCACCGGTGTGACCGCCAGAGTTCACAGGGGGAGATTTGGCTTTTTGTTTTGGTTTGGTTTTTTAGAATGAGTTATGATTCTCAGCCAATTTATTTCATGGCATGGTTCGATGGCCTTCTCCCCGGGCTGCTGCAGAAGATGCACAAACCGCGCGGCCCGAGGGCAAGCAGCGTCCTTCCTCCGCACAGCCCCGCACAGAAGATCCAGTGCCCAGGCCCGAGGCTGGGCGGTCACGTGTGCACCTTCTGCAGAGGGAGCCGCTGGCTCGCTTGCAAATTCACCCTAGAAGGGAAGCTGCAGACACTCGCGAAAGAAAAGGGCTGAGTGTGTGGGGGGGAAGCACTGGACTCCCTCCCACCCTGAAGAAAATGACAATCAAAATAAATAAATAAATAAATGAAACAAGAAAGAAGGAAAGAAAGAACCCAAAAGCAAAGGAAACGTTGAGGGAAGAAAACCGACTGAACTTACCACACTGCGAGTGAATTTTTCTAGGGAAGTTCTACGACCTTGCTCACTTTCTGGCTTTAGGGAAAAAAAAAAAAAAAAGGTAGGGAGAAAAATACAGAAAAAAAAAAAAATCTTCAGCTTACACGTGGTTTCCAAACATCAGCAGCCGCAGCTAAAGAAGAACGAAAATGAAAGCAAAATAGGGCGAAAAATGGGAAAAGAGAAGCAGCCAGCGCTGTTGGCAGAGTGGATGGGAGAGACAGAAGACAGAAGCCCAGGAGAGCGGTGCTGCCTCCTTGAGCAGTGAGCAGAGGCGCGGGTGCTTCTCAAGGGGCCACGAAGTGCTGCAGGGCTTGGGCGAGGAGCTGCCACGGCTGTGCACGGGACCCCGGCCTCTAGTTTGAGCCCCTTGCCGACCGCTTCCAAGTGTCCGTGCCCATAGGCAGGAGCCCTGGTGGTTGTGGCCATGAGTCCCCAGGCGGCCATCTGGGGGCTCCGAGGGGTGACACAGAACAGACTAGCTCTGAGGGCCAGCGGGGTGTCGAGGGGATGCTGATGGGACGGCAGGAAGGCCACCAGGGAGGTGAAGTCATCCACTCCACCGGAGTCCAGTTAGGACTATTTTCTCTCTTGAGATTTCCCTGCCCAGGGGCAGCAAGAATGTTTGCTAACTTCAGTGACTTCCCAATGACCCCCATTCTGCATCCTTAGAGCAAGGAGGGTCTACCAGGTCCTCTCCAGTGACAAAGGGTCTTCGGCCTCAGAAGATGATAACATGGGGATTGTTCTGAACAGAAAATGCTCTCTCATGATCCAGGCAGGTGACACCTTCCCAGGTGTACTCACGACAGGCTAGGGGAGGTTCAAGAAGCTCCTGGGGAACTCTTAGCAGGGGCAGGGGGGCGAAGCCCTCGCAGGTTCTCCTAGGCCTAGCCTACCGCTGCCACCCGAGGAAGAGAGGGGTGGTGTGCTCCTGACCTTGCCTCGCGTTTCCCACCTGCAGGGTCCCAGGAGAATGTATCCTGGACCCGTGTTCCAGGGTCCTGAGGCCGAGGCTGGGAAATTTGAAGAGCACACATGTTCACACGGACACACACATACACGCGGCAAATAACTGAAATTAGGGAGCTGAGAGGCAGCCAGGTGTCTGTGGGTCTGCAGAACGTGCTGGAAGCAGAGAGGGCAGGCTGAAGGCAGCCGTCTGTCTGTGGATGAGGTCAGGGGGCTTCCTTGGCAGCCACCCCTCCCCCATCAGCTCAGCCAGCTGCCAGTGGCAGACAGGAGGTTGCAGAAGGAAAACACAACACAAACGACACACCACCACAGGGCTGGGCTGGGCTTTCTTCTTGCAGGAGGATCTGAAAGATACACGCTCGGCCCTGGGTACCATAAACGTCTCCACTGTGGGGCGGCCGGACTCTACTTTAACCCCATGGCAGCCAGGTGCCAAACATTTGGCTCAAGTTGGGCCAGTCCTAGGCCCTGCATTCTGTGCTTATCATTCTTGTCCTCTGGCTACCGAGTGGCTGCTCACAGAGGGTAACCACTGGCCTGACTCATTCATGTTCCTTGGCCTTGTGCGGGCCATCAAGCTGCCCCGGAAAACCACCATCACTGGTACCTAAATGTCCTGGAGTAGCCCCCAAACCCGGCTCACCTAACCCTAGAGAACCTGGTTCTTCAGAGTGACTATGCTTTACTTGGAAAATATTAGGAAAGAGGATGAATTAGGGACAAAGGAGCAGAAGGCTGTGCCTCCAGACTCCATCTGGGGGGCTGTTCTCGGCAGAAAAGTGAGGCTGAGTCGTATGCCCTCTCCTAGCTGGAGGGTGGTTGTGACTCTCACATACCTTTTATGGCCTGGACATTACTATCGCATGGTGAGCCCGTCCCTGAAGTCAGAAGATACTCTGGGCCTACCTGAAAGTGCCGAGTTACAAATCAGATCCGTACCTGGAGACTCTCAGGAAGAAATGGGAGGAGAAGGTAGGTGTTGACAGTGTTTTGGGAAACAACTTCTCGATGTTGAAAAGTTGATGGTATCTACAAGGGCTTGGTGCCTCAAGAACATCCCTTAATTTGGGGCCTGGGAGGACAATTCTAGAGAACTCCATTTGTAACATTTCACAGAAAGGCTGTCAGTCCCTTCCTGGCTCAGATACCCTCCTCTGAGAAGTTTTCCTCTTGTAAGAGAGGATTGGGAAGCACAGATGTCTCAGCCCACTTCCTGGCTTGAGGTGCATTTTCCCTTGTGTTTAAACCCTCAAGGAGACTGAACAGCCTCTAATTTCTCCTTGTCAGGTGTGTAGACAAACCCAGATCGGTCGGACTGCTAAAGCCTTAGAATGTCCTCAAATTATGATCCTTTCAGGTTTCTTGAGCAACAGGAAATAAGGAAAACTCACTTTGACCTTCTCCCATGAGATCTGGGCTAGAGGAATAAAAAGTCTCTATAACCTTATACTTTCCTCCAGTTCTTAAAAAAAAAATTGAGCCCCAGAGCCATCTGTGGGGTGTCAGCCCCCTCTAGCAGCGCCCCTCCACACACATCCTGCAGCAGGGAGCTGGCAGCAAGCCAGGCGCCGCACACTCCATTGTAGGAGCTACGCTATGGGAGGATGCAGGAAGTAGAGAGCTGGGTTTCTGAAAATCTGGATGTTCTCGAGGTCCTTTTCCCTTTCTCAGACTGTTAGGGCTCTTCTGAGAGCAGGATACAAATGCCGTCCTGGACCTTGGAGTTGTGTGGTACCAACCAGATACGCAGACAGGATCCTGGCACACGGGGTGACAGCACACAGAAGCCTTGTGCGGCTGAGAGAGGCAGCCCAGCACAGAGTGCGTGGATGGACAGCCACGTGTCAGGGCTGGCGTTGGGAGGCCAGGAGGGGAGACGAAAGGGGCGCATGTGCTCCTAAGTGGCATGGCATGGAAGTCGTGGAGTCTGGTGCAAGTTGCGCCAACGTGGGCCTCAGATCAGAGGTGACAGGCATAGCATTTGGGCAGACATACTGCACCCAGGAGCTGTCTCTCTTTCCCCCCTCTCCTTCCTTCCCTCCTTCCAGAAACCAGCTGAGTCTACCCCTGTTCTGTCACCCCTTACCACCTCATGCCGAGGTCCCTGCACCCCAAATCCATGACTCCCAGGGCTGCAGGGTCCCATGGCTAAATTCTAAGTGGAAGAGGAAGGAGGAGCTGGGTGCAGCTGCCTCTTGGTTAAGAGAAAAGGGAAACACTGCAGGGGCAGGTGAGGTGGAGGAAGGGGGTGTTGAGGAGGAAGCAGTTATGGGATGACTCCAGGGGCCAGATGGCCCCCTGGAAACTGACAAGTTTTCCCGTCTAGTTTGGGCTGTCCAAACCCTTGCCTCAAACCTGTCTGGGCTGGTCAGGGAGAGAAGTCCGCGGGGAGGAGGCTGTACTTTACCAGAGGGGCTGTCTCTGGTGTGCTAAGGGTTTTGCTGGTGCTCTTGCCAGCCTTCACTCCTGTATTCAGTCACACTCCCTCCACTGCCGTGGGCAAAGCATGCAGACAGAGGCAGCGGGACATGGAGGTAGGGGGCCACATCCTGGACTCTGGGGGAGGGGTGGGTGGTGACCATCCTAACTCTTTTTCATTGGGGTGGGAGCGGATAGAGAAAGGAAAGAAGAAAAGAGAAAAATAAATAAAACCCAAGGGATGATATTCTCATTTCACACCAGCAGCAAGCAGCAGGCAAGAGTCAACAGTGCTAAGAAAGGCAAGCCTGCCCTTCCCAAAGATACCTTCTTCTTGGCCAGCAGCAAGTCCTGGTAAGCATTTGACCGGAGGAAGCGGGCATAGCTGTCACTTTTCATCAGTTTGTAGATGTGCTCCTGGGGGACACAAGGAAGAGCTGTCAATCAGTGCTAAAGGAAATTGCAATCCAATTGATCACTGTTTGGGGAAAGACACAAAGGGATCTAGGTATGTTTGTATGGACCTGGAAAAACTTGCAACGTGTTACACCCACTGCCCCTCCAAACTCAGAAACACCAAACAAAGCATATTTTCTCTCTTAGAGTAAAGGATCCTTGAGGATCATATCCCAAAGGGTCTGTAATTGGGCCTGGGTGCTGTGTTGGGGTGCTTAATGATTAAAACCACAGACACAGCAATAAGAAGGAACAAACTACTGATACACCAACTAATTGCATGACTCTCCAGGGAATTACGATGAGTGGAAAAGCCAATCCCCAGATTACGTACTACGGGATTCCATTTATATGACATTCTTGAAATGACAAATTATAGAACTAGAGAACAGATTAGTGGTTGCCAAGAGTTAGGGATGGGGAGGAGTGGGAGGGAGGGAGGTGTGGTTATAAAAGGCAACAGGAAGGATGTTTGTGGTGATAAAGGGCTCTGTATCTTCACATATCTCATATAGGTCATAGAACCAAAAGCACACATGTGTACACGGTACAAATAAAATTGGGAAATCTGAATAAAATCAGTGCATTGCAGCCATGTCAATATCATGGCTGTGATACTGTACTATAGTTTTGCAAGATGTTGCCATTGAGGGAAACTGGGCAAATGGCACATCTCTGTACTATTTCTTACAACTGCGTGGGAATCTATAAGTATCTAAAAATAAAAAGTCTAATTTACAAAAAAAACCCACAGGCAATGATGCAATTGAGTCAGTTTGTGCATTTTGGGGCCACCATCTCATCCCGGAAGGGGGCTCTTGGCAACCAGCTCACGAGGCATGGGGGCAAATAGACCAAGCCTGTGGCTAACATCCAGGAGGGGCAGTGCCGCCTCTTCTCCTGGGCTCCTAGAGGCATTTACATTCTGGGCTTGGCAATGGATTTCACTCCTGACTTCTGGCCAATTCCTATACCCCTGTGGTCCCTTCTTAACAGGTCTGTGCTCATCAAGGGCAGGAAAATCCTGGTCCATTAAAGCGGAGAACTTGTTGATGGGAAAAGTATTTTTCATCCATTGAAGTGGATTCAGCCCAGCTGCACAGGAAAGCTTGGCTGTCCCAAAGGGGGCCTGTTAGGAGGGAGGGTGGGACTGTTAGTGGTTGGCCTGGTGGAGGGACCATCTTCCCCTTGCAGGGTCATTGCTCATCCCATGTAGCCCGACTAAGGCCCTAGTACTGCGGGGAATGGTCAGCTGGTCAGCTGGGAGGCAGGACCTGTCATTAAGAACCTCTTCCTTAGGTCCTCTCCCCAAGGAGGGTATTAGAGAAGGAAGCAGAGACCACACATCAGCTGGGAGCACATTTTAGAGATGTCTGACCAGAGGAAGCTGGAACAATGGCAAGGGCTCACCAAGACTCTCTCCCTACCCAGCACAAAAGAAGGTGAATTCACAATTGCCAAGACATGGCAGCACAATTGCCAAGACATGGCATCAATCATGGATGAATGGATAAAGGAAATGTGGTGTATGTGTACAATGGAATACTATTCAGCTTTAGAAAAGAAGGAAATCCTGTTATTCGTGACATGATGGATAAATGTGGAGAACATTATGTCAAGGGAAACAAGCTAGGTACAGAGAGACAGATACCACATGTCTTCACTTATACAGGCATGCCTTGGAGATACTGCAGCTTTGGTTCCAGACTACCGTGATAAAGCAAACATAGCAATAAAACAAGTCACACAATTTTTTTTTTTGGGTTTCCCATATAAAAGTTATGTTTACACTATATGTAGTCTATTAAGTGTGCAATAGCATCATGTCTAAAAAAACATTTGCATGTCTTGTTTATAGGAAAAAAAAATAAAAATAAAAAAAATAAAAAAAACATTGTATACACCTTAATGAAAAAATACTTTATTGCTAAAAAATTGTTAACGATCATCTAAACCTTCAGTGAGTCATAATCTTTTTGTTGGTGGAGGGTCTTATCTTGATGTTGATGGCTGCTGTCTGATCAGAGTGGTGGTTGCTGAAGGTTAGGGTGGCTGTGGCAATTTCTTAAAATAAGATGATAAAGTTTGCTGTATCGACTGACTCTTCCTTTCATGAAAGGTTTCTCTGTAGCATGCGATGCTGTTTGATAGCATTTAACCCACAGTAATTGGAGTCAACCCTCTCAAACCTTTCTGCTGCTTTATCCACTAAGTTTCTGGAATATTCTAAATCCTTTGTTGTCATTTCAACAATGTTCAAGACGTCTTCATTAGGAGTTGATTCCAGCTCAGGAAACCACTCTTGTTATTCATCCATAAGAAGCAAATCCTTTGTCCACTAAGGTTTTATCATGAGGTTGCAGCAATTCTGTCATGACTTCAGGCCCCACTTCTCACTCTAGCATTCTAGTTCTCCCACCATTTCCACCACATTTGCAGTTTCTTCCTCCACTGACGTCTTCAACTCCTCAAAGTCATCCACGAGGCTTGAAATCAATTTCTTCTGAAATTCTATTAATGTGGGTGCTTCAATTTCCTTCCCATGAACCATGAATGTTCTTAATGACTTCTAGAACGGTGAATCTTTTACAGAAGGGCTTCAGTTTACTTTGCCCCGATCCATCAAAAAAATCACTGTCTGTGGCAGCTAGAGCCTCATGAAATATATTCCTTAAATAACAAGACTTGAAAGCTGAAATTACTCCTTGATCCATGGGCTGCAGAATGGGTGTTGCATTAGCAATGGGTGTTGGATTACCAGGCATGAAAACAACATTAATCTCCTTCATATCTCCATCAGAGCTCTTGGGTCACTAGGTGCATTGTCATTGAACAGTGATATTTTTAAATGAATTTTTTTTTTTTTCTGAGCAGTAGGTCTCAACAATGGGCTTAAAATCTTTAGTAAACCATGCTGTAAACAGATGTGCTGCCATCCAGGCTTTGTTCCATTTATAGTGCACAGGTAGAGTAGACTTAGCATAATTCTGAAGGGCCCTAGGATTTTTGCAATGGTAAACGAATGTTTGCTTCAACTTAAAGTCACCACCAGCTGCCTTAGCTCCGAACAAGAGAGTCAGCCTTTCCTTTGAAGTTTTGAAGCCAGGCATTGACTTCACCTTTCTAGCTATGAAAGTCCTAGATAGCATCTTCTTCCAATAGAAGGCTGTTTTGTCTACACTGAAAATCTGTTGTTTAGTGTAGCCACTTTCACCAATGATCTTGGCTAGATCTCCTGGAAAACTTGCTGCAGATTCTCCATCAGCACTTGCTGCTTCACCTTGCACTTTTGTGTTATGGAGATGGCTTCTTTCCTTAAACTTCATGAACCAATCTCTTCTAGCTTCAGACTTTTCTTCTGCAGCTTCCTCTCCTCTCTCAGCCTTCGTAGAATTAAAGAGAGTTAGGGCCTTGCTCTGGATTAGGCTTTGACTTGAGAGGATGCTGTGGCTGGTTTGATCTTCTATCCAGACCATTCAAACTTTCTTCCTATGAGCAATAGACTGTTTCTCTGTTTTATCATTTGTGTGTCCACTGGAGTAGCACTTTTAGCTTCCTTCAAGAACTTTTCCTTTGCATTAATAGCTTGGCTAGCTGCTTGGTTCAAGGGGTCTAGCTTTTGGCCTATCTTGGCTTTCAACTTGCCTTCCTCTCTAAGCTGAATTATTTCTAGCTTTTGATTTAAAGTGAGAGACATGCAGTTTTTCCTCTCACTGAACACTTAGAGGCCATTGTCAGGTTATTAATCAGCCTAATGTTAATATCGCTGTTGATCAGGGAATAGGGAGGCCTAAAGAGAGGAAGAGAGACAGGGGAAATGGCTGGTTGGTGGAGCAGTCAGAACACACACAACATGTATCAATTAAATCCCTTCTATTACACGGGCACAGTTTGTGGCACCCCCAAAACAATTACGGTAGTAACATCAAAGACTGCTGAGCATCATGACAAATATAATAATGAAAAAGCATGAAATATTGCAAGAATTACCAAAATGTGACACAGATACACTACATGAGCACACGCTGTTGGCAAAATGGTGCTGAATGACTTGCTTGGTGCAGGGTTGCCACAAACCTTCAATTTGCAAAAAACACAACATCTGTAAAGCACAATAAAGCAAAGTACAATAAAACTAGGTACGCCTGTGTGTGAAATCTGAAACAACCAAACGCACAGGAGAAGAGTGCAGAATGGTGGTTGCCAGAGGTTCGTGAGGGTTGGGAAGGATTAGAGAGATGTTGGTCAAAGGAAACAGCATTTCAGTGAGAGAAGAGGAATAAATTCAAGAGATGATCATGGTGACTATTCACTATAGGGAAAACAATATATTGTATATTTCTCACTACAAACAATAAGTGTATGAGGCAATGCATATGTTAAATAGCTTGATTTTGACATTCCACAATGTATACATATATCAAAACACCATGTTGTATACATAAATACATACAATTTTACTTCTCAATTAAAAAATAAAAAGAAAGTGAAAGCAGAAAGCAAGAAATGTCCTAGTCTCATAGGGAGCCCTCTCTATCTCATTGCTAGTTGGACCCCAAAGAGTCCTTTTTTGGAACCAAATTGACCCTTCCTGAGATAACCTGCATAGGCACAAAAGCAGAGTGGTTACCCCTACTAATGGGAATGAGCCCACTGCAAGGAATCAAATGAAATCAAATAGTGGCTTGGTCCTGAGACGACTTTGATGGTCCAGATGTGGTCTGATTTAACAAACTTAGTGAGAACATATCTCACTAAATGTTTTTCTGTAAATTGCAGAGAAAAATCCAGCCCATTCTAGTTTAAGTTCCTTGAAGGTACGAACAGTATGTTTTTATCCTCTATAGATGCATAGCATCTAGCACAAGGTCAAATGTTAGTTGAACTGACATGGATTTTTGGTTCACTGAAACGCCTGCAAGAATTTGATGTCTGGTGAGGTTGCAGGCTCCACACATGCT